TATAATGAGTTAAAGGGCATTAATTAAATAAGTTGTTTTTACTTACTGTATTAATTTCCATGTTGATATTTGTAACAATAACTCACAAATGCAACAACACCTTGTTAGTAGTAAGTACAATTTTTCTATTTGTTACTTCTAATTCTAAGGGGTGTTATTTATATCTACACATTATCATCCCCTCTTTCACGTATTTCACATTAGTAATTACCAACTGCTTCTTTTCATGGAAGGGATGGTAAATTACTTCTTAGTAATAGTTAATTAGCTTGTGTAATAATTAAAAAAGAAAATGTTTACTGAACATTGATACATTAACACGAAAAAATCAAATGGACTTTCTGGACTTAGGGGTACATAAGTTTTTTTCAGTTTTTCAAATGTACTATTTAGTATTATGTATTATACAGAAATAAAATAAAAAAGTTAATAACTTTTCTTTTTAATTGGAGTTCGCTCATCCTGTTTTGTTAGGTACACACTTTTTACGTAATTTTTTTTAATTTTCAGAAATGATATTGTTTAAAATTACTACCCCATTAAGTATTTACATAAATAGGCTGCATGCCTATATTTGCATGTATGCATTTATGCTTAGTTTCATTATCGTATATTTAAAAATTCCTTTTTTAATCAAAACCGGGCAAAGTAATCGAATCAACTTCTTTAATATTCTGGACCACTCAGATCTTCAAGAATCCACGAACAGCAATATTCCAATCTCTTTTAATATTCATAACGCATCTCTTTCATACTGGCATAGGCATGATTATAATTAAATTCGCGTTCTTGATTCTCACTCAATACCTACATCTACCAACCCTTCGAGCAAATACCTGTATGACAACACAACCCTCGATCGGAAACCAAAATTAAAATGCGTTACGTTAAAAATTGTCCATTAGTTATTTCAGTCGATTCCACGAAAACATAATCCGAACTTTTACAGAAGATAATGTTTTGGATTTAGGTTTTAAAATTTCCAATCACGTCTGTGCTGTATGCTATTAAAAATTTGAATGATACGTACCTATAAGCGTTTGTATGTGTGGGTAGTTCGTGTACGTATACCGCGGTAAGAAATGCGAAAAATACTGCAAACTTCAATCCACAGCTGAACCAGACAGCTAATTTTAAGTTATAAATGAATTTCTAGAGTCCATTCGAACGCTGAAAGACTCGTCTTTATGCCAATATAAATCAAATGTGGTATGAAATTGGTATTTGATTCTTGCACGTTCATTTATTGAGATATATAAGCTAATAGTTTGGAATATTACAGGCATATACTAAACATTCCATTAAAATAACAATAGGGAAGCAGAATTACACCACTGTAAAGGTTCATAAACAGGACAATAACCATGAATAATATTCAGAGACACCTTCTTACCAAAATAATTCACCTACTATCTCCAAACATTTGCAAAATAAGTTTTAAAAGTTAGAAATCTAATTTTACTAAATATATTAATTTCAATGTACTAAAAAGCAAAAAGTAATATAAATACAAAATTTTAGCTTGTCCGTGAATCAAAATTAAATCGCATTAAGGGCCAAATATAGTAAAAGAAACAAAAATAAAATTAAAATGTTTAAAAAAGGCTTCTAATTATCACTATAGCGATGCTGTATGTACATATTGCATGAATTTTAATGGATTAGCCTTTTGTTGCTGTTTTTTACACAAAATTCCAACACAATGGTTAATAAATATTTTATCAGTTTTTGTAGACACATCAACAGTGTGACAGATAAAGAGTGGTTGCGTCGATGGTTTTTGATTTCAGATTCCTCTCACCCATTTGCATTCCGAAAACGTTCGATATTTAAATTTCACGTTGTTGTTACAGGGAAATAGGATCGGATTAAAACTCAAAAATAAAGCTTACTGAAAAAGCGAAATGCCAAAATAAAGAACGTAGAAAAACGGATTGTTGTTATTTTAAACAAAATCAATTAAACAGAACAATCGATGAAACAGGGTATTAAATCGATTATCTAAATGAATTTTGATTGTTGAAATTAATTTGTTGCAATTAATCGACTGTATTTTAAATGAAAATAATCGATTTGTTATCGATCGATCGATTTCAGTGTCCAAAGAGTCAGTTATGTCGGATAGAAAAGTAACTAAAACACAAAAAGTAATCAAAGTGAAGGTATTGGTGTCAAAAAATGCGAAAAAACATGAAAAGTTTGACATTACTTCGTTGGAGCAGTTAGTAAAGTACCAAGAATCAATCGGAAGACCCCGTAGTTGTCCCAACAGGCCCATAATGGGCACTACAGCGTTGGTTACACTAGCGAAATCATTAAATTTTGACTGTTAAAATTAATTTGTTGCAATTAATCGACTGTATTTTAAATGAAAATAATCGATTTGTTATCGATTAAATATTGGATAATCGGATAATAACGACAATGCTAGGCTTTGCTCGCGTTGATGTTCTAAATATGTGTCAAAGACCATCAAGGATTACATAAAAGTAATTCTTTTCTATCCAGTATATTTTTTAAGGATAAAACGTGTGTACGAAATTTTATGATGAGCGGTTGTGTAGTTAAGGCTTGAAATGTCAATAAACAAATAAATAAACTTAATAAAACATTTATAATATTAATTAGGATTAATAACATAACTAAGTAGGTACATAGTAAAAAGTACATAAATTAAAGAGATGCCTGCTTAATTTTGTTATTGTAATTAGGTAGATAATTATTACTTCAGTTTATTAATTAGTTAATGTAATAATCATTTTTGAACAAAGAAGAAAATAAACTGTGTTTTTATAGGATGCGGAGAATGGATCTGGGTTTATAACATGATTAAAAACACCTTTCGATTATTGTCCAAAGATGAAGTTCTCATTCTTTTTGCCTCGGTAAAAGAGACTTACGACAGCTATAAAAGTGAGTTTTTATGACCCAACCATTGTGTGTACACATCACCGTTGGTTGTGCACTTCCAAATATAACCGTTTTACTACACCGTTTATCTTTATTTCGCGATGAATTTATAGCTCCCGGTGTAATGATTATGAAAACTCAATTACTATCATTTTAAAACTGCCCTTTTTACACATTTATCTGGTAATTCAATCGAAAGATTTATTTCGATATTAAAAACGACAATGCACACCATTAGTAATATTTACTTAGTTTATTATGGTAGTATTTTAGATGATTCAATAAGAGGATAATATTCAATTAATCTCTTCAATGTCAAACTCAAATACTATTCAACATACTTTAAAGCATTAGAAGCCTGAAGGGGCTGGATAATGCATACGAAAAGAAAAAGTACTCTTTGATAAATTTTAATGTTTAATTAATCCTTCAATATCCAAAGGATTAACCAAGAACGCCTTCAGGAACTTCAGAAAAATTTGGTATTGCTTTGAATCCAAAGGAAAAACCAAATTGGATTATATAAGTTAATTTTGTTGTATTGCACTTGTCTCATTTGTATTACGCTAAATCTCATTTGGTTTTCTTAGAAATATATTTGTCTATTTTGTTTTTCATTAAACTAGTAAATATTAATTTTATTTTCTTGGCATGTATGCATATATTTAATACGATTTCAGTAATTGCCAATTATATGGACCACTGCCCCCAGGACACCTACAGAAGATGGTAACAAATAGGTCATAATGAATATAATATGTAACGGTTACATAGGATTAATTAGATTTGTGTTCATAATTAGAATTACCTGCTGCTTCTTGGAAATAACCTTATATATATGTGTATTGTTATTTAACTTGTTTGTCTCAAGTACAAATTAATTTTCTTTTGTTTTATCTTCCATTACATGTATTTAATTGAGAAGAATGATTTCCTGGTTGTTGAATACTGATACCCCCATGTCATTAATATATTTTTATTGTTTATATAACTTTATGCAACACAGAATTGTGGTCGTAATTAGAACTTACGTTTTAGGGTGCTCTCATGGTATAAAACCTCAAGTACGCGAGTGTATCTGACATTAGATCAGTTTAATTGATATTTATTGGATTTTTTAAAAATGTTTCAGTATAAAAAATTGATCTAGATTATTGTTCGCAAATAGTTAAAAATATGGGTTGTTCTAGTTTTAGGGAAATGCGCGCAGGATAGGAAAGAGTGGAGGTGCGTGTCCAACCAGTCTTTGGACTGACGACCTTATGATGATGATAATGATAAAAAATATATTAGATACGTTAATAACTCTACAACAAATATAAACTGTTAACTAAGATATTTAACTGCAAAAGTAATTCTAACAAACATTCGATAGACATTACGAATTGTTATTAATTTACCTATTTAAATATCATAAAAAATATTCTAAAGAGAAGCTAATTGTGTCTATCTACAACAAAATAATTTGTAGTTTTTGTTGTTAATATTGGTAACTGTTGTACTTACAGATAAAATAGAAAACAATATTGCAAACATACAAAAAATAATAGTTTTGCAAAATATCATAGCTTTAATGACTCATAAAAGAATTTTTGGAAAGTGCAACATCCTATTATAACATCACTAATAATTTGTCATTAGAAGATTTGTTTACTTTTTTTTATCAAAATACAAACTCTGCATACGCAACCAAATATTGACGATAAAAATTGCAAATATTCTGTAGACGATAACGCGATTGAACGTGTCGCCAAGATTATTTGTTATTATTGACTAATCAGGGTGAACTGAGACAGGAGGGGGTGACACCATTAATAATACAGGTCTTTGTCAGGGTCTCCTTAATTTATTGCAGTAAGTAAAACTGATTTGATTGTTGAAAAAGTTTACGTAAATTGTGTTTGTTCTGTTTTTAAAATTGTTAGAAAGGTAATACAGGTTGATCAGACGTTTTAGTTCATTTTTGATTGCAAATACATATATTTTACTCTAACTATGTAGTAAAAATATATTTAGTCCTTAGTCACATATATATTACGATCCTTGGTGTTCTTAGTTTAATGAAAATTAATTTTGATATTTTTTTCTAGATGTTGACCGAAACTGATCCGATTTCAGTGTCTAAAGAGTTAGTTATGTCGGACAGAAAAGTAACCAAAACACAAAAAGTGATCAAAGTGAAGGTATTGGTATCAAAAAATGCGAAAAAACATGAAAAGTTTGACATTACTTCGGTGGAGCATTTAGTAAAGTACCAAGAATCAATTGGAAGACCTCGTAGTTGCCCTAACAGGCCTATAATGGGCACCACAGCGTTGCTTACACGAGCAAAATCATTAAATCTTGATGTGAGCAACGTCGTTCAAAAACTTATATTGGACAAGTACCAATCCACATTGACTTACTTCAGCGACAGAAGTTTTGCAAGAAGAAAAACCCGGAAAAGAAAATCTACTGGAAATGTGTTCAATTCCACGTTAGCTTCAGACCAATCTTACATCACCGCTATCAGTTCACATCAAGAGATGTCGGAACCTACCATTGGAAGTTATGACGAAGTACAATTTCTAAAAGACGCTTTAGGGGATGAAATTGACGCTTATGCAAGCACTTTGGATATAAAGGTATGGATTTAACACTTACTAAATTACGAATCAGTCAAATTGTTATTATTAACTCTTACAGGAACACGAAAATGATTACAGTGTTTCCACCTGTGATATATCTGATTTGGTCTCTACTCCGATCGGATCTCTTAGAAGTCATGATTCGATTGAATACCACAAAAGTTTCGATTCTTCCGAAACTTATTGTTCGACACCAGTGCCACAAAGAAAAAGCATTGCACAAAGCGAGGATCCTCGAAGAGAGGCAATTTTGCAACGGTTGTTAGTCCAAGAACAAATAATTCAACAAATATCGAAAGTGATTGACTTTTGTAAGAACACAAAACAGTTTTCGTCAAGCGAAGAGTATATTGAAGCTGAAAAAGTACTCTTATTAGCAAGTAAGTATCTATCCTTCATTACAATTTAATATTTAAGTTATCCTTCTAATATATGTTCTTTATATTACAGTATATAAGAAAGAGATGCTGCTAAAGGACCTAACGGATTTGCCAGAGACAAATAGTTCAACTCCTTTACCAATATCTGGCTATGTTTGCATCAAAAGGCTGCATTTCCCTTTAAAACATAATCCTGGCAATGGTCCTGTCAAGGATAGAAAAGGATTTTCGTACAAATATTTGTGTGTAATCACCTGTGGGAATAAGATCTTGTCTTCGGATGTAGTTGGACAATCTAGGGATGGGACCGTCCAGTTTCGTGGAAATTTTCAATTAGATAATTTGGCAGATAACTTTGAAATCCGGGTGTTTCTATATTCGCTTATAGTGAAGAACAACTTGAAACATTACAGTGAACAATCCAAATATCATATCGCAAAGGTAGTACTAATTAAATTTAGATAATTAATTGATTGTTAATTCTTATTGTGTTTTAGGAAACTGTGAGTTGTCCAACCCCTGCGAAGCTTTTCCATTCACCAAGGCGTCATAACAAATCAGGGGGTTATTCGGTGAATTTGCAAACAATTTCTTCGTTTACTCAATGGGGCAATTTTACCATAAAGTTGCAAGATTTGAACAAGAAAAAGACGGAGTTTCAAATAAGCAATGTTCCTCTTCGATCAACCCTTCAGGGAATAGCCAAGGTCGAAATACATAGTGGAGTAGTTATTAATAAGAATATTTCTGGATTTCTCAATATGGGATCAAGGACTAATAACGACACAGTTTCGTGGAATAGACTTTGGTGCAAATTGGACGGGCAGTACTTAAAATTTTGGAACTACCCTTCTGAAGAACACGACAATTCTGCTAGTACAGTAATTAATTTGAGTAATTCTGTTAATTATCCTTTATCCTGCGCGAGCCGAGAAATCTGTCCAAGACCAAGGACTTTGCTGTTGCAGACACATGAAGTAAAATGTAATGGAATTGTGATATACCTCTTATCTTATGATAGTCTTAAAGAATTGGAAACGTGGAAAGATTATTTAAATTCAGTAATCGTTTGGTGTAAAAACTAAATCAATGTAAATAATGATTCTAGCTTTAGAAATTACAAAATGTACTTATTGACCAAATAAAAATTGCTTGTAAATATTAAATACTGTTTTTGTACCTAAATATATACGTATCGAATATGAACGTATAAAAGTTTAATTTGTAAGTCTTTTGATGCTTAATATGGTAAGCTGACAGGACCTTTGCATGTTTTCAACTATTGCGTGACAGGATTCGTCATACTCTGACTAGAAATGATTCTGAATAAGGAACTAGTTCGTTCGTAATTTGATATTGATCAGTCTTTTGTAATGACTTGGCGGGAATGCTGTTACTTTCGTACGACTACAAATCCATGTTTACCTATGTAAAGCCGCCACGTAACTACAAAATTTATATGTACGTGATTTATAATGACATATTATCCTCACGTAACAATCCATTCGCCAATTGTATGATATTGAACTTTTGGTTTTTTAAAGATAAAATGTAATTGAAACACAATGAGCAACGTAAAATAAACAAATAATAGAAGCAAATTTATTCTACTTTAATATTAATCTCTTATAAAATTTGCTACTGTTTTTTAGTAATAGTGGTTAATATTTTAGTTGACAAAGTTAATAAATAACTTCATTTCATTTCATTTCAATTTTTGAATTTCATCCCCCTATAGTTTACCTCAAGTCAATGACGAAAAGTTTGTTGCTGCTGTCTTTGCGTAAGTATTGATGTTAATATACAGTAGAATCCGCTTATAGTGACATCGAAGGAAAATGACAAACAGGTCATACTAAGCGGGTGTTATACAAAGCATAGTCTAGAAAATTAACAACTTTCTATTTCGGTTATTTATTTAGTTTAATAGAGAGATATACTCATCATCATAAGGTCATCAGTCCTAAGACTGGTTGGACACGTACCTCCTATCTCTACTAGTTTCCCTATCTCCTACCTCCTATCCCTACTCTTTCCTATCCTGAGCTAAACTTTGCATTTCCTTAAAACTAGAACAGACCACATCCTTAACTATTTGCGAACAGTAATCTAATCTAGGTCTACCTCTACCCCTCCTAACTCCTGTCTCTGCCTCTAATATGCCTCTGACTAGACCTTCATGCCTGAGAAGGTGTCCTACCAACCTATCTCGCCTATTTCTTATTGACTTCCATAGAGTTCTCTGTTTTCCTATTCTTTCCAATACCTCTTCATTTCTAACCTTTTCTACCCACGATATCCTCATCATCCGCCTATAACACATTTCGAACGCTTCTAACCTTTTCTTTTCCGCCTCTCCCACTGTCCACTTTTCGCACCCGTACAACGCCGTGCTCCAAACATACGCCTTTAACAACCTTTTTAGAATTTCTAAATTAACCGTTCGCGAGCATAGAAGTGACTTCTTTTTATTAAAGGCGACACGACCCTGCGCTATCCTCTGCTTTATATCCCTACTACTCCTTCCATCCTCACTTATCTGACTTCCTAGGTATCTAAAATCAGCCACTTCTTCTAATTTT